GTCAAAAGCCCAGCTAAGTTTTATATTTTTAGTAGAGACGGGGTTTCACCATGTTGGCCAGGATGGTCTCCATTTCTTGACCTCATGATCCACCCACCTCGGCCTCCCAAAGTGCTGGGATTATAGGCGTGAGCCACTGCGCCAGGTGGAAACAGAAATGTTTTGGAAGACAGGGACCTGGTAATCCCTTTTCACCCAACAAGAACCAAGCCCTGGATGAATAGATGAGTAGCCCACGTTTTTCTGCCCCCTCTCCCTGGTCTTTCTGAGACTGACTTTGCCCTGGGAATTGTTTGTCCCTCTGGAAGTTAGACTGGTATGTGGGTGTTCCTCAGAGCCCTGGTGATGGGGAATTAGGAAGCAAGTGCTTGAACTAAAGCCCTTTGTCCTAATTCACTGATATCTGGGGCAAAAGCTTGCCCCTCTCTGTGAAAATGAAATGAAAATCTTTTTATTTTCCTAGAGCTCAAGGTCAGACCCCAGCACAGTAGGGACCCAAGCCGTGCACTGTTCCTAAGTCCTAACTCATACCATTGCCCTGGAGGCTCTTGAAGCTGGTAGCTAGAGAGAACAGAGAGTTCTCAGAGGAAAAGAGCAGCCAGGTTGCTCAATTGTTTTAAATTATTTAGTTGCATCAAATATTCAGATTGGTGGCAATAGCAACTCTATTTAAAAACTCTAAGCACGTGATGGATGAACTCAATGTTTTCAGACAGTTATCGGCTTCCAGCCCACCCTCCAGGAATCTTCTAAGAGTCACCTGGGCTTGCCTGGGTCAGCCTCCAACTACGGGGACCAGCTGAACTGCAAGAGCTACACAATGCCAATGAAGATATTTGGCGTATGTTTTTCATGTAAAGGAATTTCATCATGTCCCATACATCACCTCCTAGAGAAAAAAGATATTCAGCTTAGGAAGTCAGAACTGGGATGTTTGTATAGAAGGCATGCTTTTCGTGTAGGTGGGTTGTGTGATTTTGTTTCCATGGGCTCATGCCTGTGAAATATGCAGTGTGTGTTTTTCTGAGGTTTTCTGTGTATGAAGCTGCTGCTCTTCTCACAAAGCTCATCATTTTAGGCGAGACTGAATGTGACACTCACTGAAGTTGCTTTGGAGCCCAAGATGCATGCTCTAATACAACCACTATTATTGAATGCTTCCTACATTCCAGAGATTTTATCTATATGCTTTACATTATATTAGATAACATCTTTACTCAAAAATAATAAGGCAGGTATTATCACTCCTATTTTATAACTAAGAAAAGTAAGACTCACAGATATTGTCCAAAGTCACATCAAGGTTCAGCTTATTTCAAGCCTGGAGTTTTGTTTCATCATACAACAATATCTATCCTCTGGCAAGTTTCTAGGACTACCCTACATAACATCTGCTGTGCTGTCAAAACGTGAGATGATACTTCTTCCTCTATAATGATAATCTCTGGGGGAGGGTGTGTGGCAACGGGAATGTAGGAGGGGAGCTCTTTGTCTGCTCTTTGGAAGCAGACAAAGGTCTATTTCTTCCTTTTGGTAGTGGTTTCACAGGTATGTTCACTTTGTGATAAATCACCGGGTGGATACATAAGATTCAGGATTTTTTGTTGTTATATTTCTTTTTTTTTTTTTTTTTTTTTGAGATGGAGTCTTGCTCTGTCACCGAAGCAGGAGTGCAATGGCATGACCTTGGCTCACTGCAGTCTTCACCTCCTGGGTTCAAGCTATTCTCCTGGGTCAGTCTCCCTAGTAGCTGAGATTACAGGAGTGTGTTACCATGCCTGGCTGATATTTATATTTTTAGTAGAGACAAAGTTTTGCCATGTTGGCCAGGCTGGTCTCGAACTCCTGATCTCAAGTGATCTTCCTGGCCTCAGCTTCCCAAAGTGGTGTTTGTTATATGTCAATAACAGGTTTATTTAAAAAATTATTTCTCCATGCTGGGTTTGGTGGCTCAAACCTATAACGCCAGCATTTTGGGAGGCTGAGTGGGCAGATCTCTTGAGGCCAGGAGTTTGAGACCAGCCTGGCCAACATGGTGTAATGCCATCTCTACAAAACAACAACAACAACAAAAATAGCAGACATGGTGGCACATGCCTGCAGTTCCAGCTACCGGGGAGGCTGAGATGGGAGGATAACCTGAGCCTAGAAGGCAGAGGTTGCAGTGAGCTGAGATCACACCACTGCATTCCAGCCTGGGTGACAGAGTGAGATCCCACCTCAAAAAACCTCATTTATCCTAGCAGTTAATGTTGGAGGGGAGCCCTGCTTTTCATGGAAAATAGGCACTGATTAGTCAATGGGAACTCCTTGGACTCTACCATATAGTAATTTTTTAAATAATGCAAATAAGTTGTTGCCCTCCCTCTTTATAAAAGGAGTTTTAAGTGGATCACAATAAAACATCACACACAATTATAAAGTAATATTAGGAGGAGGTTGTTAGCACTATCTAAGTAGAAAAACTTTCCTTACATACATATGTCAGTCTGCTGGGCACCGCAGGAGGTTAAGGGTGGCTACTGTTCCCAAGGTACTCACACAGCCAAGCTGATGACACTGAGCCTTTACTAGTAGTAAATAGACACTTGTCTTTAAATATATTGGAATTTGTTGAGATGGGTTTCCACTCTCAATTTGGTGATCAATAAACTCAAAGAAAGTAAAAGTTTTCATGGACTACATCCTACATTTCATGTGTGGATAATTGAAATGGAAAATACCACATCTGATCAATATTTTGAATAATCTGAGCTCCCAATCTTAACACTTTCAGAATGATTATTTATACCTTTTTAAGATGGTATAAACTTGGAGAGACCCACAGATCTAGTCACCAAGACAATTTGGTCATTGATTTGTAATTATGTTCCTCTGCTTGCATGATTTTTTTTTTTTTTTGAGGCAAGGTCTTGCTTTGTTGCCCAGGCTAGAGTGCAGTGGTGGGATCTTGGCACACTGCAGCCTCTGACTCCCAGATTCAAGCAATTCTCCTGCCTCAGCCTCCCAAGTAGTTGGGATCACAGGTGCACACCACCACACCCAGCTAATTTTTGTATTTTCAGTAGAGACAAGGTTTTACCATGTTTGCCAGGCTAGTCTCTTACTCTTGACCTGAAGTGATCCACCTGCCTTGGCCTCCCAAAGTGCTGGGATTACAGGTGTGAACCACCACGCTCTGCCTTGCATTCACTTTTTACTGGGTGAGATTTACAACATCAAATAGCACAGAACTTCTTCTAGTTTACTTCAAACTGTGATGGCTCTAAAACTTCTATACTGGAGGAAGTTGCTGTACATATTTCTCCTTCTCTATATCCCAGGAAATCAGAGACCTGGAGGGAGAAGACACATGGGCTGTCAAATCTACAGACCTCCTTCCTTCAATAGCTGATTTTCTTTCTTTTGTGTCAGAAGCAGGCAGCATAGGACAGAGCCATGCATCTAAAACTTTATTGGGCATATTTATTCCTAGATATCTTGTTAAAACGAAGATTCAGTTTCAGCTAGTCTAGGGTCAGGGCTGAGATTCTATTTTCTATTGTAATAAGTTCCCAGGTAATGCCAATGCTGCTGGTCCATGGACTGTACACTTTGATGAGAAGTTTAGTAAGGATATAGAGGAAAGAATACTGGCCAGGTGTTGTGGCTCACACCTGTAATCCCAGCACTTTGGGAGGCCAAGGTGGGCAGATCATGAGGTCAGGAGATTGAGACCAAGCTGGCCAACATGGTGAAACCCTGTCTCTACTAAAAATATAAAAAATTAGCTGGGCGTGGTGGAGCACAGCTGTGGCCCCAGCTACTTAGGAGTCTGAGGCAGGAGAATCACTTGAACCCAGAAGGCAGAGGTTTCAGTGAGCCCAGATCACACAACTGCACTCCAGCCTGGTGACAGAACAAGACTCCATCTCAAAAAAACAAAAACAAAAACAAAAACAGAAAACCCCCAAAAAACCAAAACAAAAAACACTACACATGGAGTAGTAATTTCTGGCTTTTAGAAGCAGCTCTGCCATTTACCAGCTTGCTTTCTTGGACAAGTCATTTTGCGTCTCTGGATTTTAATTTCCTTAAATATAAACTGTATGATAGAGGAGGAGTTTGGGCTAGGTTATTTCAAAGCTTGCATTCATAGACTCTTCAAAGTGATGTTTTGAATAAGAAACTCCACCCATAGGGTCACATACAGCCTTTTAAGTGACTAACAGGTGAACTGGCATTATCAAAGCAGAAAATATAAGGGCTGGATCAGGAAGGCATGACTAGGTCAGATAAAGGAAAGGTGAGCCATAATAACTTCTTATGACAAATATAAGGCTTTGATTCTTTCAGAGTGATGGATTTTGAATTAAAATTGTTATCCTGAGAGAGGCTACTATTTTTCTCAACAACCGTCTTAAGGGGGGACCTGCATTAGTGACAACTGAGTTGCATAAGAAACTTCAGTGAAGGAAGCAATGGATGTGTTAGAACTTTGAAATAAGCAAATGCTTACAGGGGCTATGAGTGAGTCATGGCTGGAGAGAAGCGTTCTGGAGCCATGAGGGAGTCTGGTTTGAAAATAGCAGTTCATCTCTGCTGCAAACCATTTCTCTAATTTCAGTCAAGTTGGCCAGGAATTCGGGTCTTTGGCCACTGCTAGCAGACGTAACACGGACAAATGCAATCTCCTACAGGGGTTAGGAGGGCAAAGGTGACAGGGGGCATACAGGGGCATAAATAGGCAAGGAGAAGGAGGGGGTGAAAAAGGAACACAGATGACTTAAATGAATGAATGAAGCTTCTGACCATCTGAGCCTCTGGCGGCAGCCTTTCCCCAAGAGCTCACACATCTCTATTTTGAGCAGCAAACAGAATCAGACAGAAAGGGTTCCCCAGACTCGCAGATACAAGCTAGTTTCTCATTACATCCCAAAGCAACGTCAGGGAAGTGGAGAAAACTCCTGGTGCTGGCCCCTCTCCCAGCGTTAGGTTGGGAGAATCCAGGAAATATTTACCTTATGCAGGACGTGCTCGTTGAAGTCAGGGCCAGCTCCTCCCTGGTAGGAATCGGGTCTCTGCAGGTCCATGCCCGGCTTGGAGCTCGCCGCTCCGGCTCTCCCTGCGCTCTGCGTCAGCGCTTGCAGGACCTGGGTCCGAGCTCCGCTGGGTGCGGCAGGCTCGGGTCTGAGCCCTGCGGGCCCGGCCGCATCCGTGTTCAGCACTGGACAGTTCCCCGCAGTGGCCGCGGCGCGGTACCAGGCGGGCGGGCGGGCGGGCGGCCGCGCTCTTCCAGGGCCGAGCGTTTCAGCACCACGAACAGCGACTCCGCTGCAGTGCACCTGGGACCAGAGTTCTGAGAGCCTGTGCGCTCCAGTCCCCGCGTTTTAGGACTCCAGGATGCTGGCCGGTACGCAAGATTTGAGTCCAGCTGGTGATCCCTGCGTATTTCATTCAGCTGCCGAACTCCGGAGGCTCAGCGATCCGGCTGCGTTCTCAGGGCATTGCGGTCCCGGGAGCTCACCGTTCCTGATTCCCGGCGAATGGGCATCTCCGTCACCACGCAGCTCAGCGCCGCGCAGCTGTCCTCACATGTTTGCAGAGGCGAAGTCCTGCGGCGCTGGCGGCGCTGCTGTTTTTGTCCCTGGACAATTCTCTCCAGGATGTATGAGATAAGCAGAGGTTCTAAGGCCGAGGTCGACAGACGCTGGGTCTTAGATGTACCGGAAGTCCCCGAAATACGCAAAATTACCTGCCTTTTCCTAGGGAGAAGGTCCAGAGCTTTAATCGCACTCTCTCCAGTACACGTGACCCCAGAAGGTAAGAACGATGGACTCAGGAGAGGCAGTTGGTGGTTTGGTTAGGAACACAGGCCCCAGAATTCAAATCTTGGCTCTGAAAATTATTAGTTGTGTAACCCTGAGCAAATTACTCAATCTCTCCTAAGTGTCCACAAAATGGAGATAATATTATAATCGTACTTGCCTCATGGTTTTGTTCTGAGGATTTAATGAGTTAATTCACGTGAAAAGCCTAGAACAATGCCTGGCATGTACTAAGAACTCAATAAGTGTGAGCTACCATGCTCTCTGGGAAGGAGATGGAGAGTGGCTACTCCCCCTAAACATCAGGGGAGTTCTTCTGCTGGGATCTTCGATTGGCAAAATCGCATCATCGCCTGGAATATGAGAGTATGAGGGTGACCACCATGGGAACTGGAGGCTGAGGTTGTGGTGTGTGGGGTTATTGTAAGATTACTAAGGACAAGTCCTAGTACCACCTACCGGTCCGTGGAGTCAGCATCAACATGGAAGGAAAGAGCCAGGCTTAGGGTTAAAAGAGTACATTTTACTCCTGGGTTTCACTCCTTTTTGACTGAGTTGTGTGAGCCAGATCACTCATGTTTCATGGCATTACTTCTGTTTTCTCATCTGCAAAATAGGTGATCTATGCCCACTTGACTGGGTTTGGGGGAAGAGGGAGACAATGTATGTGAAAAGTCTTCCTTTTCTTTTAAATTGTAAAGCAAATTTCATTTATAAGGTATTATTATTGCTGGAATCACTATATTGTAGATACTCAATGGATATTAATTAAATGAACAAAGCTAGGGAACCAATGTGTTGTTTTATGAGCTTCTCACTGGGCCTACATTACATACCATCCAACGGTTGGGGTTCTTAATGTGAGGTGAATAAATGGATGTTAGGGGAACTTTGGAACATTGATAACATTACACAAAGTTTTGCTTCTGTGCCTTTTTCTGGGGGAGAATAAATCTCCAGAAGAAGAAATGAATCCCACAGATTTCATTAAGTTCTCAAAGTTGTCTGTACTAAAAAAAAGTACAGAAAGAATACCTTAGGCTCTTTCATCTCAACTTTCTCCTGAGCTTCCTCACCAACGCTGACTACTATAGATAAGAAGGTTCTACAGCCTTTGCCTGGAACCTCACATTACTTGGAAGGGTCATTCCTTGGAAGGGTCATTCCTCAGGGTCTGGTTTGGAGTTCGGAAGGTTCAGAAACATTATTTCATCTGTTTGTTCAGGATTATAGAGCAAATAGCAGAGGATCCTCAACCAATCTAGAGTTGATGATGGAAGATTTCCATGAGAAATGATGTTTAAACTGAGATCTGAAGGAAAAGTGGGCATTAGTCAAAGAGGGTGGTAGCAGTGGGGTGATTCCAGGCAAGGCAATCAGCACATACAAAGGCTTTAAGGTATGAAAAGCTGAGAAAAGACCAATGTGGCTGGAGTCCTGAGGAAGAGGGGAGGGGGATAATGAGAGACCCAGTCTAGAGAGGTAGGTAAGGACCACATCATGTGGGTCATGTTAAGGGTTTTGAACCTCATTCTAAGAGCAATGTGAAGCCATTGAAGGACTTTAAGTAGGGAAATGACATGGCTAGATTTGGGTTTCAAAGATACTACTTTGGCTACAGTATAGAGAATGAATTAAGTCAAGAACAAATGTGCTCTTTTATGGATTTATAAAATCTATTTTTATATTATGGGCATTAATCCTTTATGTCATAAATACTGCATTATTTTTATAGATTTATTTCCTTCCTTCCTCCTCTCCTTTCCTTTCCTTTCCTTTCCTTTCCTTTTTTTCTTTCCTTTCTTTTTGACACAGTTTCACTCTGTCACCCAGGCTAGAGTGCAGTGGCACAATTAAAGCACACTGTAACCTTGATTTCCTGGGCTCAAGCGATCCTCACACCTCAATCCTCTGACTAGCTGGGATAACAGGTGTATAACACCATGCCTGGCTAATTTTTGTATCTTTTGTAGAGACAGTGTTTTGCCACATTGCCCAGGCTTGAACTCCTGGGCCTAAGTGATCTTCCTGCCTCAGCCTCTCAAATTGTTGGGATTACAGGTGTGAGCTACTGTACTTGGCTGTAGATTACTTTTCAATGATTAACTTTGTTTGTACTTTTATTATACTCTATTAAAGTTTTTAATCTTTAAGTTTGGGCAAGCGTGAGTAGGCATTAACTAGGCAGAAGAGACCATCAGAAGGCATATTGTTAAATGTGAACCCCAAATATCTGAGACAGCTCTCAGTCAATTTAGGAAGTTTATTTTGCCAAAGTTAGGGACACACACCATGACACAGCCTCAGGAGGGCCTGATGACATGTGTCCAAGGTGGTTGCGGGGCAGCTTGGTTTTATATATTTTAGGGAGACTTGAGACATCAATCAATGTATGTAAGATGTACACTGGTTTGGTCCAGAAAGGCAGGACAACTCGAAGTGGGGAGGGAGCTTCCTGGTCAGAGGTAGATAAGAGAGAAATGTTTGTATTCTTTTGAGTTTCTGATTAGTCTTTCCAAAGGAAACAATCAGATATGTATCTATCTCAGTGAGCAGAGGGATGACTGAATAGAATAGGAGGCAGGTTGCCCTAAGCAGTTCCCAGCTTGACTTTTCCCTTTAGCTTAGTGATTTTGGGGTCCCAAGAGTTCTTCTTCCTTTCACATGAGCAAACAATAAAAGTAAAGGAAAGTAGGTATTCTTTAGAGAATGTATCAGTGAAATAATGATACTATTACTTTAGAGTTACATGTTGTGAGTTCCTATTTTAAATTTGTTAAGATGTGCTGGAAGGACTATCTTAGTGAGTGTTTTAGGTGAAGTTGAGAAGAATGTGTGATTTGTTATTGTTGGATAGAGTATTCTATAAATGCCAATCAAATCGAGTTGATTGATAGCGTTCTTCAAGTCAACTATATCCTTTATGGATATTCCTGCTAGATCCATCAGTTACTGACAGAGGGTTCTGAATTCCCCATCTCTACAGCGGCTTTGTCTTTTTCTCCTTTTATGTTTATTTGTTTTTGCCTTACGTATTTTGACACTGTTGTTAGGTGCATGTACATTTCTTGGAGAACTCATTCCCTTTGCCATTATGTAGGGTTCCTCTTTATTTCTAACAATTTTCCTTGTTCTAAGTCTTCTTTGTCTGAAATTAACATCACTACTCCAGCTTTCTTTTGATCAATGCATTGTATAACTTATTTCATTCCTTTATTTTTAAACTTTGGAGTCTTTTATTTAAAGTATATTTCTTGTAGGCAGCATATAATTGGGTCTTGTTCTTTTATTCCCTCTGACAATCTCTGTCCTTTAATTCGTGTATTAAGTTATTCATATTTAAAGTGATTGTTAATATATTTGGAATAATATTGGCCATATTTATTACTGCTTTTTATTCATTTTCACATGCTACTGCTGCTGTACTGTCTGAGCAATTTATAATTTTAATTATAAATTTTTTTTTTTTTTTGAGACGGAGTTTCACTCTTGTTACCCAGGCTGGAGTGCAATGGCGCAATCTTGGCTCGGCGCAATCTCGGCTCACCGCAACCTCCGCCTCCTGGGTTCAGGCAATTCTCCTGCCTCAGCCTGCTGAGTAGCTGGGATTACAGGCATGTGCCACCATGCCCAGCTGATTTTTTGTATTTTTAGTCGAGACGGGGTTTCACCATGTTGACCAGGATGGTCTCGATCTCTTGACCTCGTGATCCACCCACCTTGGCCTTCCAAAGTACTGGGATTACAGGCATGAGCCACCGCGCCCGGCCAATTATAAAATTTAAAAAATTATCTTCTTTCAGAATATCAGTAAAAAATTCTTCTTAAAAAGTTTCAGGCCAGGTGCAGTGGCTCATGCCTGTAATCTCAGCACTTTGGGAGGCTGAGGTGGGTGAGATCAGGAATTTGAGACCAGCCTGTCCAACATGGTGAAACCCTGTCTCTACTAAAAATGAACAAATTAGCCAGGTATGGTGGTATGTGCCTGTAATTCCAACTACTCAAAAGGCTGAAGCAGGAGAATCACTTGAACCCGGAAAGCAGAGGTTGCAGTGAGCCAAGATTACACCATTGCACTCCTGCCTGGGCAACAAGAGCGAAACTCCATCTCAAAAAAAAAAAAGAAGAAGAAAAAATTTGAGCAGTTCTCTTTAGAGTTTACAGTATATTCTTGAATCTAAACTAAGTCTACCTTCAAATAACACTATTTCTGCTTCATGTGTAGTGCAGAAACCTTAAAAACAGTATTCCTGATTTCTCCCTTCCAGCCTTCTGACATTGCTATCATTTATGTCACTTACCCACATGCTATAATCACTAAATACTGGCTACTATTGTTACTTTAAACAATTATCTGTTATATCAAATAAGAATCAGAAAAATAAGATTTTATTTGACTTTCATTTACATCTTATCTGACAGCTTTCTTAGCTTCATGTAGATCCAAGTTTCTTTTTTTTTTTTTGAGACGGAGTTTCACTCTTGTTACCCAGGCTGGAGTGCAATGTCGCGATCTCGGCTCACCGCAACCTCCATCTCCTGGGTTCAGGCAATTCTCCTGCCTCAGCCTCTTGAGTAGCTGGGATTACAGGCATGTGCCACCATGCCCAGCTAATTTTTTGTATTTTTTTTGGTAGAGATGGGGTTTCACCATGTTGACCAGGATGGTCTCGATCTCTTGACCTCGTGATCCACCTGCCTCGGCCTCCCAAAGTGCTGGGATTACAGGCTTGAGCCACCATGCCCGGCCCAGATCCAAGTTTCTGATATGTATCACTGTCCTGCTTGAAAAAAAAAACCTTCTAACATCTCTTGCAAGAAAACTCAGCTAATGTCAAATTCCTCAGTTGTTTGTCTGATAGTATCTATTTCTTCATTTTTTTTTTTTTTTTCCTGAGATGGAGCCTTGCTCTGTGGCCAGGCTGGAGCGCAGTGGCCCAGTCTCGGCTCACTGCAACCTCTGCCTCTCAGGTTCAAGTGATCATTCTGCCTCAGCCTCCTGAGTAGCTGGGACTACAGGTGTGTGCCACCACACCTGGCTACTTTTTTTTTGTATTTTTAGTAGAGACGGGGTTTCACCACGTTGGCCAGGATGGTCTCGATCTCTTGACCTTGTGATCCACCCGCCTTGGCCTTCCAAAGTGTTGGGATTATAGGCGTAAACCACCATCGGCTTCTTCATTTTTTTGAAGAGATGGGATCTTGCTATGTTGCCCAGGCTGGAGTGAAGTGGCTATTCACAGATAGACTTACAGTACACTGCAGCCCCAAATTCCTGGGCTCAAGTGATCCTTCTGCCTCTTCCCAAGTAGCTGGGACTACTGGTGCATAGTACCATGCCTGGATAATTTTTAAATTTTTTTGTAGAGATGAGGTCTTGCTGTGTTGCCTAGGCTGATCTCAAACTTCTGGCCTCAAAGGAAACTCCCACGTCAGCTTCCCAAAGGGCTAACACTATAGGCACACACCACCATGCCCAATGCTTCTTCGTTTTTGAAGGGTAATTTCCCTGGTTGTGGAATCCTAGGTTGGTGACTTTTCCCTCTGACACCTTAAATATTTTACACTACTGTCTTTTTGCTTGCATACTTTCTAAGTTTTTTTTTTTTAATTTTTATGGATACATACTAGTTGTATTTATTTGTGGGGTACATGTGATATTTTTATATATGTGTACAATGTGAGTGAGCAAATCAGGGTAGTTGGGATATCCATCGCCTTAAACATTCATCATTTATTTGTGTTAGGAACATTCCAAATTCACTCTGGTAGTTATTTTGAAATATACAATCTATTATTGTTGACTATTGTGGTCCTATTTTGCTACCAATGCTTTCATACTTTCCGAGGAGAAGTTTACTGTAATTTTTATCCCAGCATCTCTACAGGAAACCTACTTTTTCCTCCTTTGGCTTCTTTCAAGATTTTTCTGTTTGTTTTTGGTTTTCCCAGTCATCACCATGAAAACCTGGTGAGGTTCCCGAGATAAAGTCCATGAAAATATGGGTGCCCACCTAAGACTGGCCCCCCCTCAGAGTTTCT